ATATATATATATATATATATATTTAAAAATTTTTAATTTCATTAATATTTTCAATATTATGCTCTAATCTATAAGCTATTTAAATATTAATATATTAAAAATATTATTAATAGATATATATATACTATTATTATAGAATATAGGGAATTCTTAATTGTACTAGTGTATTTTACATTGAATATTGTAATTAATATAGTAATGTTTGATGTTATTTTTTCAATAATTATATTTTCTATTATAAAAGTATATACATTAGATATGATAAAGTAATTATACTTAATTATTTTATATATATTATAAGTATATAACATATTTTTTATATAATATTTTATATAATCTAGTTCGAATCTATTTAATAAAGATATAATTATATAACCAAGAATAAATATTTTAAATACAAAGTATTTGTAAGTATACAATATGTTATAATTTGATAAAGAAAATTTTATATCAAAAAATATTTTTCTTATAAATAATATAATTAACATTATTGTTATTATTACTTTGTTTATGATAGTTCTTTCCTTAGTGTAAATTATGTTTTATTGATAACGATTTACTTATTAATGTTTTAATGATTCGTATTGAATATGAAATGGTAAGTATAGTTCCAGTAATAAGCAATAAAAATCTTAATATATTAATTTTTTATGCACATATATGATTCAATTATAATATCTTTTGAGTAAAATCCTACTAGAAAAGGAAATCCACATATTATTATTAATGATATAGTTATAATTGTTCTTTTTATAGGATATATATAAAATATTCCTTTATATATTCGAAAGTTCTGATTTCCTTTTATGTAATGAATAAATCTTCCAGCACATATAAATATTATTGATTTAAATATTGCATGAATAAATAAGTGAAGAAATGCCAATTCATAAAGACCCATTGAAATAATGCTTATTATAAAACTTAATTGTCTTAATGTAGAGAAAGCAATAATTTTTTTAAAATCTATCTCAATATTAGCTATTATTCCTGAAAAAAATATTATTATACTAGATAATATTATAACTAATATATTGTATTTTATATCTAATATTTCTCTATATATAATTATAAGATAAATACCTGCAGTAACTAGAGTGGATGAATGTACTAAAGATGATACTGGAGTAGGTGCTATTATTGCTATAGGTAATCAGATAAAAAACGGGAATTGTGCTCTTTTAGTAAAAGATATTAAAACCAACATTAGTATCAACATTTTACTTGAAGCATATAACAA